GGACTCTCACCCACCGCGCCACCAGGGAAGCCCTCGAATGCATTTTTTTTTTTTTTTTTTTTTTTTGCCTTATGCGGGCCTCTCACTGTTGTGGCCTCTGCCGTTGAGGAGCACAGGCTCCGGACGCACAGGCTCAGCGGCCATGGCTCACGGGCCCAGCCACTCCGCGGTATGTGGGATCTTCCCGGACCGGGGCACGAACCCGTGTCCCCTGCATCGGCAGGCGGATTCTCAACCGCTGCGCCACCAGGGAAACCCTCGAATGCATATTTTTGATAAAACTACATGCATGCATTGAAAAAGGTCTAACAAAATGCCCACCAGACCATGAACAGTGGTTATCCTGTGAGGAGGACACAGGGAGAGGAGTTGAGAATGCAGGTCTCACTCTGTACTGTGTGCACCTCTGTTATTTGAATTTATCAATAAGCCTGTGCTACCATAATAATCGGTAAAATTAAATACATAATGCAAAAGTGCACAGTCTAGTGTTTTACAGTTGAATATTTATATTTAACTTACCTGAACATAGAAGTTTAAGAACAGGATGACCAGCGTCAGCATATAAGAAGACTGGAAGATGAGACAGCCGAAGGGGAAGCCACAGGGCCTCACGACAGCGCTCATGGTGTGGGTGACGGTGAGCACGAACTGCACCTGCAGGGGCGGCAAGGGTGGAACCACTCTGCATTCAGGCAGTTAGCAATCGACTACTCGTACTCCCTACCTTGTGCAGGGGTAAAACAAACAAGACAACGCTGAAGCAGCCCACCGTCCTAGCCAGAAATCTTGTTTGAAATTAGGAAGTGTATAAAATTGGCCATGATTAATTTTCTCCTGGAAAAATCACAGTTGAAATCATTTAGGTAAAAATGCTTTAACAGACATTAATTTCAAAAATGTTCACACAGACGTTTTAACACACAAGGTTTCGCTCTTAAAAGTCCATTTTTAGAGGAAAATAGGCAGCCTCATCACACACAGAAAAGCCTCTGACCTCCAGGGCTGGGACTGAGGACATGCAGATGCTTCACATGGAGAAAAGCCGACAGAGGGATGACATACCAGCTGAGCCTGCGTGAGATACTTCTTCCACCAAAGATACTTGCGCATAGATGGAAACACGGAAAGGCCATAGTAAGTGTACATGAGGATGTGGATGAAGCTGTTCAGGGTGGGTCCAAAGAAACCTAGAAAAGTACAGTATAAATTACTGTTCTTCTAGAAAGTACGATCGTTCGTTGTCAAGTAATACTCTTCCTGTGCATCGTAATTGAAGACAAATAACAATATGGCACTAACAAAATTCACCCTGATTCCTGTGCCATTATCCGGGGATTCACCCAAGGTCACCTAGACAGAGAGACTAACCTGGGGTAGGTTTTCAGTCAGTGCCAACCAAACAGGTAACGCCTGATTTGCAAAGGCTTTGCTGCTTCTGTCATTACCACCATCCAATCAGGTGGCAGAATCTGAGGAAGTGTCTTTGCTTTAGCTAAACCTTTGATGAGCCATTTTGATTGTAGAAAGAGCCTTCTTCGTTCATGGCTGGACAGGGTGCTAAAGCGTCAGGAAAATGTATTGCTCTTCGTAGTTCAGTAAATAAGATCTACCTGGCAGGAACCTAGAACCAGAAGATGCTGCAGAAGGTAAGAGAATACAGGGGAGAGAAAAGGCCCAGCAGGATGAGAGGCTGGGGCAGGGGAGAGGCGGGCCTATGGGACCTTCCCAGTAGCCAAGCCACCTCCTGGACTTCTGGAACAAAGAATGTCTAAAATCCAGTTTTAGGATATCGCCTGTGCTGAGCTGTGCCGTGGAACTCCCCTTCCCCTGCTATCACCTTCATGAAATCTGACATCAACGTGGGTGAATCGTGTTTCAGGAAACCAAGGAGCGAGGGCTAAGTTCTAGGTTGGGTCAACCAAGGGTCAAAAGGACTGAGCTGCAAGAGGTAAGGTGCCGGAGACGGAAACAGGGAACCCGTCATAAGGAAGACATCAGTCGATGCAGGCAAAGGGCTCGGAATGGTGCCCAGCACAAAGTGAGTGCTATGCCTCTATGAGCTATCAACCCTGTGGGAGAGGAGACAGGCTGTGGAGCCAGGGGACCTCCTAATAGTTCTGTCCCCTTGGACATACTAGTTTGTAAATTTTGTTTCTCATCTGGAAAACAGGTATAGAGTAATTATCTCTTAAGAGTGAGATGCGGTTAAATGAGATAATACTATAAACTAAAAGGCACTGCACATATGTTGGTGGTTAACTAATCAATTTAAATTCTCCTGCCTGCTTTCCCAGTCCTGGATTAGCGATCTAGACAGATCAAGTCAATGAATAAGAAACAAGAGGAACACCAGGAATCTACCAGGTCCTCATACACGGGCTGGAATAGCTTGTCAGGGCAGTGAATTTATATGAAAACATAAATATAGTTTCAGAGTACCAGGCAGCACAATATTAGTGATGTTTCTTTACCAACCTGAGTTTTCATTTCCATCAATTAATAAAAAAGAGTAGTTGCCAATTTTTATAATATTCTAGCTTGAACAGAAATCACACAGAATTCCTGTGAATGAAATACGATGTCTTTACAAAGTGATTATTCAAGACCAACTTTTAGATGCTTTAGTTAGTTATAAATGAAACTTGATAATCGTAAAGCATACTTAACCTCGACAACAGTCCTGCGGTATTGATTTCAGCCTATATTTTGATTACAGTGCAAGTCTGTTGTAATCCTAATAACCAAGACTGGAGTATGTCGGTCTAGGAGGCATGTGAAAGCGTCTCTTTTCTCTCTGCTGCACCCCCAACAATTTTTCTTCACACTGGAGTTTAAATTTGCATCTTCACAGTCAATGATGTATTGCAAATACCCTTGGGGTTTTTAAAAATACCATCTCCACAAGCTTCTAAATCCTAGGACAAAATTATTTTAAGTTTTACGTGTTCTGATTTTTCACAGAATACTTTTAAATTCTTGGGTACAAGACAATAAATATCAAATAGAAAAGTACTGTTCTCTCGAGCTCAGTGTTTCTCAAACTGCAGGTCATATAACCGACACATCAGTCAATTGTGAAATCAATATAGTGAGAGTTGTCATTAGCTTTCTGAAAAAGTGAGATCAGTTTTTTTTTTAAGTGCATCACAGGCCTTCCCTGGTGGCCTGCCAACGCAGGGGACATGGGTTCGAGCCCTGGTCCGGGAAGATCCCACATGCCGCGGAGCAATGAAGCCCGTGCACCACAACTACTGAGCCTGCGCTCTAGAGCCCGAGAGCCACAACTACTGAAGCCCGCGCGCCTAGAGCCCATGCTCTGCGAGAGAAGCCACCACGATGAGAAGCACACACACCACAATGAAGAGCAGCCCCCGCTCGCCACAACTAGAGAAAGCCTGTGCGCAGCAACGAAGACCCAACACAGTGAGAAATAAATAAAGTGCATCACACAGAGCTGGGCTAAATACTGTTTCATGAAATTTGCTTCATACAAAATGTATACATATGAATGAGGGCATTGGGTTGTGATATAAAACGTATTACTTATTGAGCTCTCAGTTAAAAAAAAAATTGAAAGCCACTGTTCTGGTGGGTCACAGTGACGTGACTTTAATTTTTCAGAATGGAAAAAACAAGCCCCCAAAGTTGACGTGACTCAACCTGTACCACAGCTAAGTGGTGACTGTGGAAGGTGCTGTATTTATTTACAGCTGCAGTTAATGAAGTAAAACTGCTCCAGCTGGGGTATGGGTTTCCGGCCATCGGGCATTTGGTGCATGGAAAAGGAAACATTTTTAAAATTTATTGTAATACTCAAAGATTTTGCCAGGATCAAAGACAAGAAATGGGGCTTCCCTGGTGGCGCAGTGGTTGAGAGTCTGCCTGCCGATGCAGGGGATGCGGGTTCGTGCCCCGGTCCGGGAGGATCCCACATGCTGCGGAGCGGCTGGGCCCTGAGCCACGGCCGCTGAGCCTGCGCTCCGCAACGGGAGAGGTCACAACAGTGAGAGGCCCACGTACCGCAAGGAAAAAAAAAAAAAAAGACAAGAAACGAAACGGCCACTGGCAAAGGTGTGCTTCCCCGTGTGACAAGCAGGCTGGGCCGGGCCCAGTTCTCTCTCCTGAAGGTGTGCGATGCTCAGTATAGGAGACCCATCACACAGAACTGAAAAACTGACAACTTCACTTACTTTGCCCACAAGGTATCCAGTTCAAAACGCACCACCAGATGTTAAACATAGACGCATGATGGTATACGTGAAGAAAGGTAATCTGACTGGTTTTTTTCCGCAACACAAAAAAGATCGTGTCCAGGAACTCTATTAATTTGGAGAAGTAGTACCACCATAACACTTCGGCTACCTGTACGAAATGTAAAACGGGGAAAAGACAAGGTGAGGCGTGCTGCCGCCGCAGTGCTGCCCGCCTCTGCATTGCCCCCGTTTGTGCTTCACCAGCGCGCCTGGCTCCCAGACTATCGAGAAAGCATCTCAACTGGCGTCTTTGCCTCCAGCGTTTCCTTATTCCCAACAATCCAGCCCCTCTGGTGAAAGGAATTCTCTTTCCAAAATACATTAACTGATCAAGTGGCTCCTCTGCACCTACAGAACCAAGTCTATGATTCTTCGGTTCATACAGTTTCTCCGCGGGCCCGCGGGGCTGCTGTGTCCACTGTCCTCCTCCGAGCACACCCCCCGGGCATCCTGTGTGCTGTTCAAGTAGTCGTTTCCTGTCCCTGGAGCCCTGCTGCCCCCATACGCCTCATTCTCATGCGTCCAGCACGCCTCCCCTACCCCACGTCTGGCGTGGTCCTGTCATCCTATTAGCACTCCTCTCAAATGCCACCTTGCTCTGGAACGTGACCGCAGCCTCCTGTCTCAGGCTGAATCATCCCCTTCTTCATCTGTGGTCCCAAATTACTTTACGCCTCTATTATCAATAACCACATTCATGAACAAGTCTCCTTCCCACTAGGCTGTAAGTCACTCTGAGGCGGAGACGGTCTCCTTCACCTCTGCTCAGGGCTTGGCAGGTCACTACTGTTGTTCCACTGATTTTGATTCTTCTCTGCTCCTTTATTGTTCATATTTTGTCCCTTAAACATCATGCTCCCCGAGAGCAGTCTAGGACGAAGCCTTTCATGTCTTTTCCTCAGAAGATGAAAACTCCAGGTGCTTCTCTGCCCTTCAACCCCCAGCCCCAGCAGGTCACAGCGAGGGCTTGCTTCCCTCCCAAGTCCCTCACACAGTCCCCATCGCAGGGAGGCGCTTTCATTAAAGGCACCGGGCTCTCAGCACTCACGGTTAAACAGAAGAGGAGACACTGTAAGAGGAGCTTTGAAATTAGAATTTAATGCTCTACTATTTACTTCCCATGAAGACACTCATAAGGTGTGCTGGCACCATCGTAAATGTTTGAGGGAATCATTAACCTTCAAAAATATTAAACCAGGGCTTCCCTGGTGGCGCAGTGGTTGAGAGTCCGCCTGCCGATGCAGGGGACACGGGTTCGTGCCCCGGTCCGGGAAGATCCCACATGCCGCGGAGCGGCTGGGCCCGTGAGCCATGGCCGCCGAGCCTGCACGTCCGGAGCCTGTGCTCCGCAACGGGAGAGGCCACAACAGTGAGAGGCCCACGTACCGCAAAAAAAAAAAAAAAAAATTAAACCATAAGTAAACACATACATACAACAGTGGCTTTTAGAAAACTGTATGGTCTCCCAAAGTGTACTAGTCTGTGATAACAGAAATGAAACGGGTGTAGAGAAATCTACACATCTTACTTTTTGTATTATAGCTTTTGAAGATGTTTAAAAATGCTCATCTTAAAATTTTAATTAAAAGGTTTCTACCACCTCTTATTAATAACCTATGTTTTTATTATGGAAATTTTCAAATATTCACAAATGCAGGAAGAGTAAGGAATGCAAACCCTCTGGTATCTATCCCTGAACTTCAAAATTTTCAGTATGATTCCAATTTGAATTAATTTTGTTTCCTACCACTTTTTTTTTGGGCAGGGGAGAATGTAACATAAGCAAATACAAAGTGTATCAGTTTATCCATAACACCTTCTAATAGATGCGGAGACTTGAATATAACCACTGAGACACTATCTTTTTAAAAAATTTTTATTATTTTTTATACAGCAGGTTCTTATTAGTTTTCTATTTTATACATATTAGTGTATACATGTCAATCCCAGTCTCCCAATTCATCCCACCACCACTACCACCCCCTTCCCCCCCACTTGGTGTCCATACGTTCATTCTCTACATCTGTGTCTCTATTTCTGCCCTGCAAACCTGTTCATCTGTACCATTTTTCTAGGTTCCACATATATGTGTCAATATACGATATTTTTTTTTTCTGACTTAACTTCACTCTGTATTACAGTCTCTAGATCCATCCACGTCTCAACAAATGACCCAATTTCATTCCTTTTTATGGCTGAGTAACATTCCATTGTATATATGCACCACATCTTCTTTATCCATTCGTCTGTCAATGGGCATTTAGGTTGCTTCCATGACCTGGCTATTGTAAATAGTGCTACAGTGAACATTGGGGTGCATGTGCCTTTTTGAATTATGGTTTTCTCTGGGTATATGCCCAGTAGTGGGATTGCTGGGTCATATGGTAATTCTATTCTTAGTTTTTTAAGGAACCTCCATACTGTTCTCCATAGTGGCTGTATCAATTTACATTCCCACCAACAGTGCAAGAGAGTTCCCTTTTCTCCACACCCTCTCCAGCATTTGTTGTCTGTAGATTTTCTGATGATGGCCATTCTGACTGGTGTGAGGTGATACCTCATTGTAGTTTTGATTTGCATTTCTCTAATGATTAGTGATGTTGAGCATCCTTTCATGTGCTTCTTGGCCATCTGTATGTCTTCTTTGGAGAGACGTCTGTTTAGGTCTTCTGCCCATTTTTGGACTGGGTTGTTTCTTTAATATTGAGCTGCATGAGCTGTTTATATATTTTGAAGATTAATCCTTTGTCCATTGATTCCTTTGCAAATATGTTCGCCCATTCTGAGGGGTGTCTTTTCCTCTTGTTTACAGTTTCCTTTGCTGTGCAAAAGCTTTTAAGTTTCATTAGGTGAGACACTATCTTATCTAATATTTAATAAAATTAATGAATCTTTAATATCTTCTAATAGTCCGTCCACCTTCAAATCCACCTGATTTTCTCAAAAGTGTCTTTTTATTGGTTTGTTTAAATCAGGATCAGGGTCCAGCTTGCATTTATTTGACGTGGTTCTTAAGTTTCTTCTAATCAGTAACAGTTCCCTTTCCCTGCTCCCTCGTTTCGTTTCGTGTCTTTTCTTTCTTAAACTAGATCAGTTGTACAGAACTCCTAATATGGACTTGGATGACTGTCCCTTCCTCCTGTGGTTTAACTTGTTTCTCTACCCGCGGCAACCCCTCCCCCCCCGCCATTTTCTGTAAACAGCAATAAGGGTTAGAGGCTTAACTGGATTCAGGTTTAAGGTTTGGGCAAGAATACAGTTGACCCTTGAACAACACAGGGGTTAGGGCGCTGACCCTCTGCACATCGAAAATCTGTGTACAACTTACAGCCAGCCGTCTGTAGCGTGGTTCCTCCGCGTCTGCGGGCTGTACAGTACTGTAGTATTTAGTACTGAAAAAAGTCTGCATATAAGTGGACCAGCGTGATTCAAACCCACGTAGTTCAATGGTCAACCGTACTTCAGACGTGGTTCTGGGTACTTCCTATGGAATCACATCAAGAGGTACCTAACTTCTGATATTAAAATCAACAGTGAGTTTGGGTGTTAACAGCCTAATCTAATCATTATGAAGTTTCCATTCAACTTTGGCCCATTACTTTCATCATTTACAGATGACCACTGTCTAGGATCCATTACTTCACTAGAAGTTGCAAAATGGTGATTTTCAAATTCTCTTCATACTTACGCATTTTTCTCTTTATAGAGAAGAGCTCTTCCTCTTTAGCTATTTGGAGACTTACATATGAAAGGCAAGATAAATGTTTGATTATCGTCCTTTAATTTTTTCGTCTAGAACTTCTTGGTGTTCTAGCAACCTTCAAAAGGTAACAATGAGGGGTTTTTTTTTAGTATCATTTTAAACTCGGTTTTTCATAAATTTAGTATGTCAGTATTCCTTTTGACACTCCAACTGTCCCACCTTTAGCCGTAGGAGTCCCTTCAAGGTGGCTCCTACATCTTCTTGTCATGACCCTAGTGGTCTTGGGTAGCTTCCTTGCTCTGTCACAAGATGTCCTGGATTCTTCTCATCTACATTTCCCACCCCAATCAGGAACTGGCCAACTCTCTAAGAATCCTAAACCCTTTCGGTGGATTACATTTAGAGAGCACAATTTTGGTATCATTGCTGGGCTGTCAGAGACTAACTAGGCCTTTCCTGTACACAGAGCTAAAAAACACATCTGTTTTTAGAAAGAATAAAGTTAATTCTGCTATTTCCAATTTGAATCTGTAATTAGTGAGTTTTAGTTTCTTTTCTTCTATGTTTCAAATACTAGTTGTAATAATAGCATTATTATATAGCTAACCCTAAGTGTACCTATAACAACAAGCAATACCAGTATTTTTATTAGTAATAGCAGCCCCCCAAGTTACTGAATGCTGTTAAGATGCGTCTCACTTGGGATATGCAGTCAAAACACTGTCTTAAAGGCGCCTGAAATAATTCTTCTTTGGGTGGTTATGTCAACAACTTAATATATGGGTATATTAATTTAGTTTATTTCCGAGATATCTGGGGGGAGCCTGCCTTGTAATCTTTTAAAATTTGTTTTATAATTATGTAAAAACACCAACTGGTTCTGAAATATAAGACAAGGTACATTCAGAGAAGTCTAGCTTCCATCCCTATCCCCTCTGACCTGTTCCCGCCCCCAAAAGGAAACCATTTTGTTAGCTTTTGGTTTATTCTGCCATTGTTTCTTTTTAAAAACATAAGCAAATATACACATATTCCTATCATTTCTTGCACACAAGGCACTGTACTATAAGCACGGTCTGCGGGTTGCTCTTTTCCACTGAGCTACATCCTGGACATTATGTTGTAACAGGACAGCGGTCATCCTCATTTCACTTTGCAAAGGGACCCATTGCACGGATGCACCATGGTTCATTCAGTCTGTCCCCAAGTAAGCATTTCTATTAGGACGGGAGACCGTTTCTTATCTAACCCCAGCTTCCATCGTCGTATCTCGAAGGAGAAACAGTTACAGATGGTTGACTCACCCGGATGTCGGCTTCCCCTGCACTGGTAAGATCCTGACACTGTAAGTTGTAGCCTCCTTCCCAACTGGAGAGAATAAGCTGTCAAAGAAACAAGAGGAGAAAAAAAAAGTCAGTGTGAGAATTTGGACGAAAACTGAATTTCCCATTCATGTTTCTGATTGGCATCTATTCAAGACTGAGTTCTTCCCAGAATGAGTTTGACTCGATCCTGTCCCCAAACACATGATATCAAAGGATCTAATTCCTGCTGTTGAACTGATATATCAGTGGTTACAATCCTTAGTTAATGTAATTTACTTCTAACCTCCACATCCATCAAAAACAGAATTTAGCTATCATTTTGAGCACCAAACTATTTTATGTAAGGAATTTATCTAATCATATGTTCTACAAATAAAATGTAGAAGTAAAATGTAAGCAAATGTGAGGAAACTACACTAACATGTTAAAACGTTACATTGGCTTATATAGAAATAGTTATTTGATCATCTCAGTAATTTTATGAGTTATGTATTTATTACCATTTTACAGATGTGAAAACCAGGGCTCAGAAACGTTCTTAAATCACTTTCTCCGTTTTATCGATGCGATGCGGTAACCAGACATTTGTGCGATTATGACTGATTAATGTCTGTTTTCCCCATTACGCTCAAGAAACAAAGAGCTCCACAAAGTCCACGCCTCCTTCTTTGCTCATCTCCGCATCTACAGTTCCTTGCCCAGTGACTGGCACGGAGAAGGTGCTCAACCGCTATATGATGAATGGATTATTTGCTCACAATCACATGGCTAGATAGTGGTAGAACAATGATTGGATTCAGGTCTTCTAATTCCTTGTCTAGTATTCTTTTTACAACATCATAAGAAAATGAACTTTGTGGAAAATTCTACAGAAGAAGTTTTCTCCATTCTTTCCCACTATTACTAAGAAACTTAAAATTCTAGAATATAATATAAGGCCTTTGGCTTTGATTTACATGAGATATTATACGTGAAAGCCTACAGTTTTCTGTTGCTTTATCAGAACTGTGTAAAGGTACAGCACTGTTACAATACACAAACAGAGCAGGGAGGGACAGATGTTCATGAACTGAACAGTAAGAAGAGATGAACTACTAAGAACATTGGGAATGTTCTAGAACCTGTGCAAGTCTTTGCTCTACTATCCTTATCGACTTCTCTATCCTTCTAACAAAAACACCTTTCAGTTAACGTCATGACAAGTACAGACTATCAGGGTAAGTGAATCTGGTGAAAGTGAAGGAGACTGACCTTTCCTGATGGGGTCTATTACAGATCAAGTCACCCCCCCCAGGTACCCCACAGCTTTACGTGCTGGTTCTCAAAGGGGAACCCGTGACGGGCCACAGGGAATCTGGGAATACCTAGAAGTGCATGTAAGTTTTTGTGTGTCTTTTTCAAAAATAAAGTTTCCTAACTTTGTAGAAAGATTAAAAACCTCTATGGTCAGGCTGTCGTTCTGCAGTCAGGGGCTCTAGTATCAACTCTGTGTAGTAACGATACAGAGGCGGGGAAGGACAGGCTGTACTCTGCTTTAGCCAGCTCTATCCAGGCCGTCCCCATCCCCACGGCACCTCTGCAGGACTATCTGACAAACTAAACGGCAGAAGTCAGCATCAGGCTGCGGGAGGCTCTATCTGCTCACCTTGGACCCTTCCCAACGCCCTAGCTGGGCGGGCTGGCAGAAACCACCCAGCCTACGTGTTGAAGAGAAGGGAAGCAGGCTGGCAAGCAGGGTTAGCCTTCAGGAGGTGTGGACTGACTCGCTCCGAAACAGGATGAGGGTCCGCTCCCCACATCCACCACCTGAATCCACGCCACTGGCGCCCGCTGACTGTAGCCCTGCAGTCATCTCCTAAACGGACCCTCTGCCCCCAACTCACTGAGTCCACTTTCCACGTAGCAGCCAAAATAACCTGTTTAAAAAGGGAGATCCTGTCACTCCCCCGTTAAAGTCCTCCAGGGGCTTTTCATCACGCTTAGAACAACGGCCAAACTCCTGACAAGGCCGGATGTAACCTGCCCCCAACCTACCGCCTTGAAGCGGCCCTCCGTCCGCTGTCCTAGCTCCTAGCCGCACGGCCCCTACCCACGGTCCTCGAGCACCTCAAGGCCTCCACACTTGCCGATCCTCCTGTGCCGGCGCCTCCCCAGAGCTCCGCACGCCCGGCTTGCTCTCATCACCCAGCCTCAGCTCAAACATCACCTCCTCAGAGAGGCCGCCGCGCCCTGCCCTGCCCCGCCCCGGCCATCGCTCCCTCGCACACGCAGAGGCTGTGCTCCAGAGCCTAGAACACAATCTGACACAGTGCAGGGACTCGACACATTTGCTGCAAGAGTGTTAGTAATTTTAGTGCAGCTTTCTGGCCTAAGCAGACATCTGGCCTGGACGTAACAAGTGAGCAAGGTTAAGGTAAGCTATCCTTTGACCAGAGTCTAACCAAACATTCCCCATAGCGTCAAAGAGAAGACCTTGTGCCCTAAAAGAGGTTGCCGTTGGGGGACTAGGAGGCAATCAACCAACAGCAGAGATGGAAGAGTGTGAAAAGAGAACCACTGGACGAGCCAGAGCTGAAACCTGTGGTGGAGAATGAGCTCCACGCAGACCTTCTCCCTAAAAAATACAAACCATGTACCTGGCTGTCCAAACGCTGCACTGCTGTGCCTGCTGACGGTGCCTGAGGCTCACCTGAAGACCAACGAGGCCCTTCCGCAGTGACTAACTGCTACTTGCACTAGCCTGTGAACTCTTCAAGCACAGAAACCACGTCTAAATATCTTTGTGGCCCCTGGGCTGCACCGAGCAGGTGCTCGTTGAATGCAGGCTGAACAGAACGGATTCGTCCTTACACTCGTGAGGGAGTGAAGTAGGACAGACATCGTATCTCCATTTGAAAGCTAAGCTGCCTGAGGTTCAGGGAGCCTTAAGTAACTCCTCCAAAGTTGCAGAGAAAGCGAAAGGCTAACACTTGAATTCGGATCTTCTGCCTCCACTGCACGGTTGCTTCCAGCAGGGATTAGAGCTTCCAGCGCAGACAGATGGTCAGGCCGGCTCCCCTGATGCAGCTGCCACTTCTGGGAACCACCCAAGGAAGAGTAACTCTCCCTCTGTCATACAGGGAGAAACTAACTCCGTAAATTACTATCTTGCAAGCTCATCTAGTGAACTAAAAAGTCTACCCAGAGAAACCTAAAATAGAAATTCCCCTTTTAGAGTCAGGTAAATCAGGGAGCACTTATGTGACATAACCTTAGAGCTATCAGCATGGCTTTCCTGACCCCAAATTCTGTCTCCTGCACTCTGATGCCTCAAATTCCATAATTAGAGTTTCATGACAGTCATTTTAGATACTGGTTATTAACCATTATTAGAATGGTGCATATTAGACTAATGTGCAGATTAAACTCTATGGGTGAGATGGCCTGTATTCTAGGCAAGAGTTTATTTTCGTTTAGAAGCCAAGGACACCAGGAAGCCAGCTATACCTGTGCCACTGTCAGCCATTTATAACTTATATGAATGAGTTTATCCTAACTTTTCCCCAAAAAGACTGTTCTGTTTTAGTTCTCTCTCTCAAGCACATTTATTTAACACTTTTCGATTTTCTCTTATATTATAGTAAAATAACCTTTGGTTGTAATAGGCAGGGCAATCATTACTTGTTCTTTTTCTTGTGAAATTACTTAGGTTTGGCACGTTATAAAGGAGCAGGGAAGACATGATGTAATGTGGGGAGCCACAGCCGAGCTGGAATGTCACCCCAGGCCTCTGGAAGCCAGTCCTGAGGATACACAGTGACCCAGAGATGGGAGGAGTATCCTTTAAGGGAACGTATATTTGCATTTCGGTCAAGCTAACTGCATTTGATATTTAACTTAAAAAACAGTTACTCAACAGCTGTCTGTTCTCAGGCAAATCAGGTTAACTTTTCTAAGCCTCCGTATCATAATCTATAAAAGAAGAAAACTATATATGATCTTTAAAGGCCCATTCAGACCTAAATTGTGATTTTAAATTACAATGAAAGACTAAGGACTAAAGAAATAGGTCTAAATTGGGCTAAAAAACATTCAAGTTAGAAACAAAGACTTCTAGGACTTTTGGAAGGAATAACATCAGATACCGGAACCTTGAGATGTTAAAGAACAGTACTGATAGCAACCGTGGATAGTTCTAGAACGCCAGATGTAACTGCTTCTAAAAATCACTCGGTCACTGTTCCCCAGCGTCGGCTACACAAATACTTACCTCTGCCAGCATGTACGCGGAGAGAAGTGTGATTCCAAGATTGTACAAGGTGAGGACGCCCCTGAGGGAAAGAGCAGGTCTGCTCCTCATGTATCTGTTGCCCAGCCATATGGAAAGCAGGTATAAGACAGTGAGAGAAAAGGTGGGAAGGTAGGAGTCCAACAGGAACCACCCTCTGACTCGAGAATCTGCAAAGAAACACACAGTGAGAATCCCGCGGGCACCCCACGTGCTCAGTTGGGAGACACGGTCACGTGTGCTGTATTTGCTCACCCAAGTTCGACAGGGAACTGCAGGCCACAGCGTGAGCAAGCTGGGTCTGAGTTATAGTTCGGAAGAAGAAACCAGTGGGGGCTGGAATAGTTAAGGAGGGGCCCGTGGAGCAAACAGGGCTTCAGTTGAACGCTGAGTGACAAGGACAAGTAATAAAGGTGGGAAGTCACAGTTCTTGAATGTCTAACTTTGGAACAGTTACCGTAGTTACTCTCAGTAAATATGAAGTATTATGCCATTTTATGGATGTAAAAACAGCTCCGAAAGCGTCAGCATTTGCAGAAGGCGCTCCGGTGGCTGGGAATTCACGCCCGCCTCCCGTCCATTTCACCTTTCTGCTGCCTCCCGTGGAGAAGCTTTGGGTCGGCAGGAGAGCAGACACAATGATAGCGTGTCCTAATTCCTGGAACCCACACTCCCTGGAATTTGCTTAGGATCACTGTGCATAAGCCAGGAACGGCTGAGCGTTCAGCTGATCCAAACAGAGCAGTGGGATTACAGAAGGGCAAGCAGGAGGAGCTGCAGACGGCAAAGGCGGAGCCTCGGATTCAGAGGCGAGAGCAGAAAATCAAACCGGGGACCCAAACCTGATCGTGGACCAGAAGTACAAGCAGCCAGGAGGCAAGAACCTGGACAGAGGTGTCCCTCTGTTTATTTACCTTTAAAATTTTAAAACCTAAGTAAAACACACATTGTAGATCTGTAACATAGTAATTAGAAAATAACTGTAGGCACAAAACGATTTTTGTTCTCTGCTCCTTTCTGTTGCTTATTAAACAGAGAAAATGATTTGGCCCAGAATTATGAAAACCGCATGTTTGTTTTTTTTTTTTTTTGCGGTACGCGGGCCTCTCACTGTTGTGGCCTCTCCCGTTGCGGAGCACAGGCTCTGGACGCGCAGGCTCAGCGGCCACGGCTCACGGGCCCAGCCGCTCCACGGCATGTGGGATCTTCCCGGACCGGGGCACGAACCCGTGTCCCCTGCAACGGCAGGCGGACTCTCAACCACTGCGCCACCAGGGAAGCCCCTGCGTGCTGTTTTTGATCTCTGTAAATAGAGCTGTAGGAACTGGTTTCTCCCTTTTCCTGATTCCTCTGGTCCCCGCGGTCCCAGTTCCCCTTTCTGCTCCCTGCCACCCCATCTACCCCCAGCTTCTCTACACCCCCCATCCTACAGAGCACCATTTCTGTGAGCAAAGTGCCTTCTCAAGCTCTGTCCCACCGCTTACTCTGTAAAGACTTCTCCTTATTCTGACAGAGATAAAAAGGTGAGAGAGGAGCATTCACGCGACTAACGGATATTACCTTCGGCACAACTGGCTCACAATAATCCGTCATAAATTTCGCGCACTGGGCCACTTCCTAACATCCACCTCCACATCCTACGTGCCACGCGGCCTAAAGCCTACGTGTCCTTCGACCCCAAGGATCAAGGTCCTGGCCTCTGAAGGAAGCCATTCCCCACTGCTCTTCCATAACTACAGCTACTCATCTCCATGACAAAATAGTTATTTTACAATTTACAAGTTATCATGGCTATAATACTGTTACTATAATTAACATTTACGGAGCACTGATTCTGTGCCCCACACAGTCCTAAAGCCTTGGATATACATTAACTTCTTTAAAATTCTCAGAACAAGCTAATGATACAGGTGATATTATTTTTAACAGCTTTATGGAGGTGTGGTTGATAAAGTCCTGCACATATTTACTGTGAACAATTTGCTGAGTCTGGACGTCTGCCAACCCCTGTGATGCCATCACCACAGGCGAGGTGACAGATGAATCCATCACACAGGTGGTACGATCTCCACTTTATGATTGAGAAAAATTGGGTAAAAGAAGTTAACTAACTTGAACTAAACTGCTACCCTGCCTCTTGTTAATGGTATTATGGGTTGAACTGTGTCCCCCAGAAAGCTGTGTTCAAGTCCTAACTCCTGGTATCTGTGAACATAACCTTATTTGGAAATAGGGTCTTTGCAGACGTAAACCGGTTAAGATGAGGTCGTACTGGATTACGGTGGGCGCTGCTCAGTGACCAGTGTCCGTCCTGACAAGGAGGGCAGACTGGCTCTCAAGGAGGAGAAGGCCCCATGGAGACAGAGGTAGAGACGGAGCCACGCAGCTGCAAGGCAACAGTAGAAAGCAGCGAGGGCCGAGGCAGGAACAGGCTTCCCTGAAGCGCGGAGGGAGCAGGGCCCTGCCGACACCCCGACTTCCAGAGCCGTGGGAGAATAAACTGCTGTGTTTCCAGCCGTACAGTCTGTGGGGTTTTGCTACGACAGCCCCAGAAACGAGCACACGTGGTTTGCTTCCTTGCTTTTCGACTGCCTCAGAGGTGACAGTTCTACCTCCCAGCCACAGTGCACGCTCCGTGAGACCCGACTACGTCTTATATTTCTACTCTGTCTCTCTCGTAACTTATTGCCACTCAGTGCAGAGTTGACGGGAACAGTCATCAAATGCGTATCGATCGACACACTGAGTCAAGCGCGTTTAGCTAATACAGCGCCCGAGGCTGGCGTTTTCTTTTGTCCCAGCCCTGTGAATGTTTGCCGCCGTTGTTGGGGAAGACCATAACTGTTCCGACCAAAAGATGGGACCAGATACTTATATCATTTATTATCTTTGGGGCTTGAGATGTTAGCTCTGCATCTGGGTCACGTATTTGCCTAGAACCATCTCCCTTGATGGTACCAACGTGGCGTAGGTAAAGTCAGAAAAGGCTTGGGGACACCTGTGGGTTTAGCAGGGGGCCTGCCAGACAATTTAAGTTTGGGCCACCCCTCAAAGGGGAAGTGGGCACTAGATGGCCTGGAGGCTAGACTCCCTGTCACTGTGGAGGTCACCTGATCCAGTTGTCAACTGTCAATCTCACAACCTGCTTGCTACAAAGGAAACTCCCACAAAAATGACCACTGCTGAGCAGACAACTGCAATCCTAGCCTTAATTAATCCCCATCCACAGCAATAAGAAATCATCCCAGGTCACAGTGACCTTACCAGTGGCAAAGTTCAGCATGACCTCGGCTCAGAGACACTGATGGCTCTAGTGCAAATGTCACGTAGAAAGCCGGTCACCCAGAAGCCCCGCATGCCTGTTAGAGTATCACGCTACCTGCTACAGCGGTACAGCAGAGAACACATCACATAAAGCAGGTTACGAGCTACAGGTCCCACCCTGCCTGTAGGATCATCACAAGGATAAAACGGAAAACAAGACAAAACGAAAACCAAAGGCAATGTGAAAAAATACACATATATGTTAAAGCTCTGTACAATCAGTACCATTTCACTAAAACTATATAAATAGTCATTCACACAGGATAATTTATGGAGCCTGTATGGAAACTGGAGAGTGGTCTAAATCATCTCGGTGTGCTTCTGTTTAAAGATTTTGAGAAACAGGAGAATCTCATTTCCCTCCCCCTCCCACCCAATAATGCTGAGGACAGAACTTGTAGATTTTCCAGCTTTGTGAACCAGCAAGGCTCAAGGGAAACAAAACGTGCTGTGGAAAACTTATTCACTTATTTGCAAAATATAGTGTCTCACAGGTTCCTAGGACTGTAATACACCCTGGAGATAACAGTCACGGATCCTGCCCTCGTGGGAGAAAGAGCTATTAATAAAGCGTATGAAGGAAATAAACAGAGGCTGAAATACAGCGTGATGAGAGGCTCTCGATTTGCCACTTTCGAGGGCAAATCTCTGCCATCCTGGTCAGGGAAAGCCTGTCGGGGAAGGTAACGTTCACAAGCCGGCACCTGACGTATGAGGAGGAGCTGACTACACTGGGGAGCCGGAGGTCTTAGCGGGAGGAACAGCAAATGAACGACTGTTACACGTCGAGGAAGTAAGATGTCTAGAGCAGCAGTGGCGTCGGAGAGGCAGCTGCGGCTGCACAGTACACGACTGCGTGGTCCGCGGTGAGGAACTGGGTTTTCATCCTGAGGACGCCGGAAGACGCTGGTGAGTGTTAAGCCAGAGTACCACATTCTGTGATTTAGGCTTCTAAAGTATTAGTGCAGCTGACACTTAACAGATGATGAGAAAGGGGCAGACGCATCGGGACGCCCCGCAGTGGTCCGAGTGACCGGTGGTGGAGGAAACATCGGGACACTCAGACGGCTGAGCTGCGGAGCCCGACCTCGTGGCCCTGGGCCGATGAAGCCCACACAGCCTTAGAGGGAGTTGCCCAGGGCAGGTAAGGGCAGAAGGGCTGCGTGTGACTGTGCGCGTGAGGAAGTGGGAGGAGGATGGGCGGCGGGGCGGAGAGGATGCAGCAGACCTGGAAGGAAAGGCACCGCCACCTGGCGGCCGGAGGCAAGGAGCGCACCGCGCGCTGTTCCCGCTGCCGGAGCCTGAATCCCGGGAGAGGCTGAGCAGGAGGGAGGGGCGCCTCCGCACGTTCTGGGAGAAGGACATCGAAGGTGAGGGCGGGTAAGTCCCTCCATGCCAAGTACCACTGTCAAGACACCAGAAGGGACACCATCCTCCTCTCTAACTAAACCGTGTTCCTTCCACATTGAGTTCTCAAGCAGCTCACTCACCCCGAGGTCCAAACATATTGTCCAAAAAGGCATTGATTTCACCATCAAAGGCCTTTAGATGCTCCTGAAAAGACAAAGAAAAAATGATTTAAGTGGGTGTTTTTGGAATCTCTCAAAATGAACCACTGCCAACAACACGAGGCTGACAGACTCTCCAAGGGTCCTGGCCTTGAGGACTTTTGACTGCAGAGACTTAAGGAAAGTGGACCAGTAAATGCAGCCTCGCCTTCACAAGCCTGTAAGGATTTGGAAGGAAACAATTCCTCTTTCATTTTCTTAGGCAAGAGGAGTCCTGGAAGACAGGTCTGGTACCTTTAGACACTGAAGGGTTACTGACCATCCCATTTCCCTGGACAATGCTTTTAGAGGCGTACTTTTCCAGAAGCAACTTCTATTGCTGCAATTAACAGGGGTTGTGCGCAAGCAACAGGGGAAGCCTACACCTGCATTACATAATTAGTAAATGAAAATTCAGCTGAATTGTATTTCACAAAACTGAATGTAAAGCCATAAAGACGACGTTTTTCAAGTCAGGAAATGAAGCACTATAGCTATTTTCCCCACTACCTTTATGTTTTGTTTGTTTTCAAAACATTTTCAGTACATTAGCATCTATTTAACAGTACAGTAGATAGCATCACCAGGGTATCCCAGATTAACTACCACCACTTTAACTGGATTCAGGTTGAGATTGGAGAGTTTCTGCTAAGAATCTTAATGCTGATGAACTGGCTGCTGGCTCTTGACTTGGCTCCCTTCATGCTGCTCTGACATTATACCTCTCAAAATACCTGCTCAGGTGTTCCCTAGCCCTGCTGCTAAGGTCTAGAGCACCTCCCTCAAGCAAAGGTAGGAAAAGCTGGATCACTGCACAGTGCTCCTAGGAAAGGGATCTGTGAGGGGGATTTTGGGCGAGTGGACCGGTCCCTGACTGCGTGTGAGTTTCCTGGACGGCCCTCAGGAAGTTTGTACAGAACGTTCTCCATAATCAATAGCTGGAGTGCAGTCAAAAGCATCTTATTCTCAAAGAAAACATAGGTGCAGAAGAGGAGAATTAAGTTCCTGCCATCTGTAAAGAAGACGTGCACGTTGGTGACTGGCACGTACAGTTTGCATCTGTCCCTTATTCGTGTCATTGATCCGAAGAGAAATGTCAAGGAAACTTAGGTCTCTGGGAACCTTAGGAAGCTTGGGAAGGAGGATAACGATGAAAGCCTAGCATTTATTAGCACCCGCGCCTTGCTGACCAGTGTATTAGGACCTTTATTATTTCATCATATCTCTATGAAAAGTATCTGGGCTAAACCAACTTTGGAAGGTTTTACACAGTGTCTTTACTTTTGGTTTCCATAATGGACATCTTGGGAGACCTCCAGATTGGAGAAAGGTCAACTATCTAACATCTCAGTGTGACAGAACTTTGTGTTGCCGTTAGAATAGGGCGGATCTGTCCAGAGGCCTCTCATTCCTGAGCAAAGAATGTTAACCTCAATGATGTTCCCACCCTCATGACAGACACCAATAAAATCTTCATTGCCACATCTACCCACAACATTTAAACTTTTCCAATTTGTTTGCTGGGTTCAAAATCCATCTTCCAACATCTGTCGAGCTAAGAAAACTCTAAAGGTCACAAAGCTCGTATTATTTCTATTATCTTGCAAAAATTTAGTCACAGTGGAGAAAAACAGAAACAAAAGAGGGGAAGACATGAACAGAAAATAAGAGAATGAAAGATGAATACGAACGAATTCTTTCAGTCATTAATTTACTGATTCATTAACTGATTTTCTGGACATTACTATGCACCAGCACCGTGTTAGATGCTGAAACATGAAGTCAAATGAGGCATGGTCCTTATCTTCAGATAGGGTAACAAGCAAGTAATCAGTAATTACGGACCAGTTTTTTAAGGAGGATGAGAGGGGTTTACGCGACGTGCTGTAAGAAGGGAGAGAAAGGAAGTATTATTCAGCCATAAAAAGAAGGAAATCCTGCTATTTGCGACAATGTGGATGGACCTTGAGGGCATTACGCTAAGTGAATAAATAAGTAAGAGGAAAACAAATACTGTATGGTCTCACTTATGTACGGACTTTAAAAGAAACAAAACAAAAAAACCAAACTCACAGATACAGAGAACAGATTGGTGGTTGCCAGAGGTAGGGGCTGGGGGATAGGAGAAACGGGTGAAGGGGGTCAAAAGGTACAAATTCAGTTATGAAAAAAATTAAGTCAGGGGGATGCAATGTGCAGCATGATGACTAGAGATGATAACACTGTATCGCATATTTGAAAGTTGCTAAGAGAGTAGATCTTAAAAGTTCTCATCACAAGAAACAAACTGTAACTGTGAGGTGATGGATACTAACTAGACTTACTGCGGTGCTCATTTTGCAACATATACAAATACGAAATCATTATACTGTACACCTGAAACAAAAGAAAAGCCAGGAGATTTCATGCAAATCTCTTATAAAAAGAGAAGCCTTCCAGGAAGAGCTGCTGCTTTGCTGAGTTTTGAAAGACTCCAGGATGTCGTCTAGATGGAGAAGGAGGGAAGAGATCAGCAAACATACGGAGACATGACTCACTTGGGAAATGCTTATGGCCAGGGTCTCTAGGGACCTATCTGACAGAAATAAAGCCAAGGCTGGGAAGGTCAGAAACCTGAAAACAATCACCTCTTTGGTTCTGGGTTATTTAATACAGTTAGTGAGGATGTAGTCTAAAAAGACGATGAGAGGACATCAGAAGAACAAATCAGAGTTCACCCTGGGTCAGTGTAAGGTAAGAGAAAGTACAGAGTTGGGGTAGCGTCAGCCAACTAAGGACGAACTGTTAGCAAAGGATGAGATCAGAGCGTGGGTAACGAGCTCCCAGCTGTACCCTGGGTCCTACATATGGTAAACGCTGAAGCATGCTGGACACTCTCTCAGGCGACCCCTAGGAGCTGAGAAAAACCAACTACCAGCAGCACTTCGTTCATTCAACCCACATTTCCGAACAGCTATTACGTACATAATACTTTTCAGACACATGAAGAAAAAAGGGATAGAGTGCTTGCCTCAAGAGCTTACAGACAAACTGGTAAGTGAGACGCGGAGAAGGGCAGACACCCAGCAGCTGAGGAGGCGGAGATACACAGAGCGGCCACACTGACGAAGACGCCACGCGACTGAAGACCTAACGTGGGTTTTCAAAGATGGTGAGAGCTTGGATTAGGAGAGGGGAATAGTTCCGCCCTTAGACCTGGGCAAGACGGCTGCCGCCCTGCACCCCACACTTCAGAGGGCACCACTCTGGTCATCCTTTGGCTATTCCCCTCCACACAGGAAAAGAGTCCTCTCAGCCAGGGAAACGCCTGTCCGTGGCCATAGCTTCCCCCTCCGGACTGCGTTCCAAGTTCCCCAGGCCACAGAACTCTCTGCCAAAGAATAATTCTCTGAGCTCACATCCAAAACAACTTTAGCTATTTCCCCTTGCCCGTGTAATAAAGCCCACGTTCCATGACTTTGAATTCAATTTGTGCCTGTGTATAGCTACAGCTGAAGCATGGGAAGGCTGGGAGCAGGCAGGGCCTTATTTAAAGGTGTATCCCTGACTGCCGACCACAGATGATGAGAATGTAAGATGGTACAACCACACTGGAAAACGGTTTAGCAGTTTGGTAAAAACACAAATATTCACCTACCATATGATCCAGCATGCCACTTCTAGGCCACCCAAAAGAAAATAAAGCACATATCCGTGCAGAGACTCATATACAAATACTCAGGGCAGGTGAATGGGTAAACAAACTGTGATATAACCACACAATGAAACACTACTCAGCGACATAAAGGAATGAACTACTGATGCACACACAACATGGATGAATCTCAAAATTATGATGTTGCATTAAAACCAGACCAAAAAAAAGAATACACACTCTCTGTTTCCATTTATTTTCTGGCCTTTCATGTAAAAAGTTATCTATGTGATAGAAAATCAGTGGTTGCCTGGGGACTGCAAAGGAGAGGAGCAGAATATCCTTCAAATATGAGGGTGAAATAAGGACATTTTCATACACACGTAGGTGAGAGAACTTGTAGCATCAGAACTGCACCGCAAGGTATGCTCAAGATGTTCTTTAAGGAACAATCTAGAGGGAAATGGTTCCATATGGAAAGTAGCATTTATGGAAAGGCATAAAGAGCATCAGAAATGTATCTTTCCAGGCTTCCCTGGTGGCACAGTGGTTAGGAATGTGCCTGCCAATGCAGGGGACACAGGTTCGAGCCCTGGTCCGGGAAGATCCCACATGCCGCGAAGCAACAAAGCCCGTGCGCCACAGCTACTGAGCCTGCACTCTAGAGCCCGCGAGCCACAACTATTGAGCCCACCTGCCACAATTACTAAAGCCCCAGGCGCCTGGAGCCCGTGCACCGCAACGAAGAGTAGCCCCTGCTCGCCACTAGAGAAAGCCCGCACACAGCAACAAAGACCCAACGCAGCCAAAAATAAATAAATTAGAAAAAAAAAAAAAAGAAATGTATCTTTCTGATCAAAGAGCCCTAGCCCAGAGTAAGCTAACCTCCACCTACCTCATCACGTCCACTGCAACGGCCATCATCACCCCCCACACCCTGCGTATCCCACCCCAGGAGCAGTGCTGTGCACCACCCAGTGATGCCCTGCATCTGCCCCTTGTTCTACTGCCAGAAGGAACACCACTTGGAGGTAGCGGGGACCCATCAGAGGCAGACCCACTGGGCTGACTTCTTATGGAAAGGTGAGATGGTCTTCCCGGCCACGTGACATGCATCTCTCAGCACAGGTGGACTGGATCACCATGCACTCCTGCCTCTGCTCCCATGTTCTGAGAGTACCTGGGACACAGGAGAGCCGTGAGGGGCACACCTAATTTTTGGCCACCACGGTGATGACTGAGACTCAACATAAATCAGGGGCATCTCAAACAGGAGGCCACTTCCTGGTCGGTCTTTGAAGGTGTGAACTCTGATTGCTGCGGGGACTGCCTCAGCCTCAACACCTGGATGGCTCAGACTTTCCTCTGCAAAGGCTGTCTTGCAATCGGATGAGAATCGCTATCACCATGAAGCAGGGCCGTTCTACGGAAGCCGAGTCAGGAAGCAAGGCAGAAATAAACCTGCCACCAGAGCTCCGCCGGTGCGTCCTCTGGTCTCTAAGCGCTCTCTAAACCAGATGCCGGTTTCTCTCTTCCTTTCCTTCTCCCCCGTCCTTTCCTTCATCATGTTCCTTGTTCCTCTTCTCCCCTCCCCTCCCCTTCTTCCTCTTTCCTCCCTCCTTCACTCATTCCTTCTTCACATTCCTTCAGTGTTGTTTTAGGCAGTTACAGTTTTTAGTATTTATCACGGGCATTATGTTGTATAAAAATCCAATGATTCTAGCTCTTGGGTTGGTCCTATTTTGTTGATGTAGTTTTCTTCCGGACACACAGGCTCAGTGGCCATGGCTCACGGGCCCAGCTGCTCTGCGGCATGTGGGATCTTCCCGGACCGGGGCACGAACCCATGTCCCCTGCATCGGCAGGCGGACTCTCAACCACTGCACCACCAGGGAAGCCCTGTTGATGTAGTTTTACACGACATTTTAAGAAAACTTATTCACTCAGAATAGTTACCTATTTTTCCATGACCAACCCCCTTCCTCACTGCTTTTTAAAATGAGCAAAAGCCATTAAGATTATGAAACAGACTCTTAAGTTGGAAGAAGACACAGTATCCAAACCTTTACACTGTTTTTTTTTTAATATTTCAGAGAAAACTAAATCTGAAGTGTTCGATGACAGCAGGTCAGGAAATGGGATCTGACAGCTCAGGTTAACCAGACATGACTCTGAAAATCTCAGGGGCAAGGGACAGACGAGAGCCCCATTCCACAGTGAGGCCTCTCTCCTGTTCCCCAGGCTCGGGATGGCTGTCAAACACTGAAACCCCTTTTGCAGGCCCCTGAGGGATTGCTCCCAGCCAGCTGCCCACGTGTTTGAAGAATGGAAACGCGTTCACATTTGTGAACGATTCTGGGAGGTTTGGAGGACGGCTAAAAGCAGACGTGATAAAATCTTCGCCTTTCATGCAGCTGAGTTCCCACGATATCACTCACGCATTTT